AAATTCACTCTGAAATATTTAAATACTAAATTCTGTTTTGAAAAAAAATAAGTTTATTTCTTTTAATTTTCGACGACGATTTAATACAAATTGTAATTATTTAAGTACCTAAAACCCAGTTCGCATATAGGTAAAAATGTAAAATTTGACATCGAGAATAAATTTATCCTATGTTTAGTTAATTTTAGTTTATTTGGTCCCTTATTGTTGATGAGTTATAAGGACAATTCAATAAAAATGCAAGTCATAGAAAAGAAAACTTATTTTTATATATGATATTGTCCCACTAGATATTGTCAACAGATTCTCTTTGTGTCCTGAGAGTTACAATATCTATTTTAATATTAATTTTAATATTATAACAACTTTTTAGCTATTAATAGTTTATAAAAATGTAATAAATATATGTGAATTATCAAGATATAAAACAGTATAAAAATATATAATGTACAATAAATAAAATGTACTTAAAAATTAAATGTTTCAGGAATTTATTTACTTATTTGATCCAACTTCTCCCTGACATTTGTGATTGAATCCAGTAAATCTGATTCTAGTCTGTTATCACGTTTGCTCTCATGGATAATCTCTGCCACGTTCACTCCTATTTTTTGAACTTTCTTGGACAATGTTTGATTTGCAGCATTGACTACTGTACACAGGTGTCCGTTTTCCTTCGTAAGTTCCTTGATCACCTCCAGCTCTTTCTTTCTGAAAGTTAAAAAATCAACCCAACTGCAATCCAACTGTCATCGTAACTGATCATTATCAATTTCACAAAAAGTAACTATAAAAATTTTACATTTTCAGACTAACGCCATGGATGGAAATTAATGTCTCCTGGATTTGTATCTCAACAGATGGATTCGTATTATTAGTTTCCATATTGTGATCAAGCCTTAGTGCTGTGTTTATAGAAGTTATTCATGTATTCACTGGGTTATATTGTGAAAAATGGGCTTACTCACCGATATCGATGAAATTAGGCTCATTCGATACGTTTTTACACAAAATGAATGAATCTGGCAAAAAAAAAGTGTCGCTCTGCTCCGCGAATCGAGATATTAAGCGTTAAAGTTGACGACTATTCAGGTTAGGAACTCTGTCACAGCAATAGGTCTGTTCGATTCGCTTACATTAGGTTTGTTCGCGTCGCACGCTCCAACATGCCCAATACGCTCCAATCTTTGACTATATAACTATGGATTGCTAGTTACCCCCCCCCCCCATTCTTCCTATCTTTTCCGTAAGATAGAGACTTGCACAGCAAACATTACGCGTGCCTCTACCAGTGAAATGGCAAAAAATCGAAATACAGTCACGTTATTATAATAAAACAGAAAGAAAGAGAGAGATGGAATATGACACATGTTGCATTATTAGGTTTAGTAAAGTACAGAACCAAAATAAAATATGCATATATAAATTTAACATGCAACAGTAAAATATAGATAACAAGTGTTAATAAACATCTATATATTATTTAATAATTATATAAATATAATTGTAATGTTCAATAGCTATACAAATAATGTTATATTATTGACCGCTAAAAATTACAGCTTTTGTTAACGTGCGTCTCAAAAGATTTTTTTGTTTAGATATTGTGGTGCATTTCTCTTCACAAAATAATTTTATTTCGAAAAAAATGTTATTAATTTCTTTCTTTTCTTTGATTTTCTTCTTCTTCTAATTTTATATGGCACTCAAAATGGCCATCAAAATGACGATTTCGGCCAAATTCGGGTAGTAACTTCTTTTCTTTGATTTATGAAATTAAAATATATATCAAGTATTGAATTGGTAAACTTAGATTTGTACTGTATGTGAATTAACGATATATCATCGAAGTATTGAGATTCGCTATTTCACTGGCGGGAGCACTTTTCATGTTGGTACGACGTGAGAAAGCCAAGTCTAGCAGTCCATATAATCAAAGACGCCAATACGTTCGCGTTCCTGGAATCAATATGGTGACTAGATATTCACGTCGCGTTATGGCTCTTGCACACCAGCACGATGCTACAGTATATACAGTAGCGCAACTCTCTGGTCGGCCTTTGATGTTAGTGTTGGTCAAAATGGAGTGCGCATGCGTGAAATAAGTCAGTTACCTAGCATTGCCATGGTTATCTAAATTTTTTTCTCTTTTCATCCTTTTTTTACTCTGTCAAAATTTCTTGCAAAACTCACTAGATTTATTCGCATTGCAATCCAACGAATTTGTTGAAGTGAATAAGTAATGTTGTAGGAAATATTAGAACATGCGACGCGAATAAACCTAATATTGCAATGAAATAATTTAAACTTTATGAAAATTAATAAAAATAAATTGTAAATATATTGAAAAATAAAGAAAAAATATAGAAAAATTAGGAAAAATATTAAATTAGTTTAAAAATGTATATTTGTATAAAGAAATATTATCTAATTATATATCTATGAAAATATTATGAGAAAGCAATATAAAAGAAATTTATATACATATATGTTTAAAAAATAAGTTTAAAATGCAATAAATAAAAAGAAATCCTTTTTACTTGATTTTCTGTGTTACTTTTTATAAAAAAATACTTTTTCACAAAAATTAGACCAAGTTCTCGAGATTTCTCACACAACATTTCACCAAATGAACAATACACGTAATATTTTCTTCTAAATTTCTACTTTGAACCATGTATGCTGAAAAACAAATGTTTAAGTGAAGCATTGAAACGCTTATTTAAATAGAAACAGAAAAAGAGAGAGAGCAATAAAAAAAGGAGAAAAAGAGACGGGGCAACTTACTTATTTTACGCATGCGCACTCCATTTTGACCAACATAAAATCAAGAGAGTTGCGCTACTATATATATATAATGTGACAATGCGCGACACGCGATACGCAACCTGGATGTCGCGCGTCGCGTATCGTGGTGACCTCACTCGAATTGATCTTCTGTTCTTTTTGGCCGAACTTTTGCACTAGTTTATTTTTCTTCCTTTTTTCTCCAGCATCTGAATATATCCAGCAAAGAATATATCATTGGATGCATCCAGAAGCGCTCAGTGAATGGTCGTGCTTCTAGATGCACCTAATAGCAGCGAGCGTTCAGGGTGCAATTACATGGAGCGTGATACGCGGTACAGTAACTAATAGCAACTAACTAGGCAACTAAGAAACCGCGTATCACGTATCGCCTATTTCTTTCGCTGATATTATATGGAGCACGGTTTGGGCGCGGTTTGCGGCACGGGCTAACAAACTCACATTACTATACACTACTATACACTTTTTAATGGAATTAATTGATTCAAACGCAATTATTAGTAAATCTGTTAAAAAAATAAAAGTATCGATAAAGTGTGCATAAAATTAAGTTAATATATTTAAAAAAAATTTAATGTGAGTTTGTCACTAGCCCGTGTGTAAACTGTAACCATGTAATATCAGCGAAAGAAATAGGCGGTATGTACGCCAGAGCCTTCCAAATGATATCAAAGAAGAATATCAAGCGTCCATTTTGATCACGTGATCCTTTTGGTCACTGAAACAGCCGGTTAAGGCCATGGCAAACAAAAAACTTAAGCAGTAAGATGTAAGCAGTAAAGAAATTAACATATTGGATTGGCTACTGTTTATGTTATGGCTTTACGGATTCTTCTGTAATTGGTCAATTCGCTTACTGCTTACGTTTTACCGCTTAAGTTTTTTTATGTACTATAGCCCTTAGGGCTGCCGCACACAAAATTTCGTAACAGTATGCGTAAAGTGTAAACTTAAGCCGATGAACCAATCAGAATACTGTTTTAGATTACGTAATTTAATGAAAATAGAAATATATATATATATATATATAAAACAGTAAACCCATTGATCAATACTATTTTAATTTGGTCAACATAAGAGCAAATCAGGAGCTTTCAGGTACTCATGCGCACTTACGTTTAGTGTCTTTTAGTGAGATGCATATGCCAGCGAGATCATTGTGTGGGGTTGTATTTGAAAGATTACTTTGGAAGATTATAAAATCGCGTAACTATAAAATGTGCAAAGCATCAACATGAAATGCTGTGTGCCTGGATGTGGGCGAAAGAAGTAAAAAAAGCATTTAATTTCATAAGTAAAAATTTTTGTATTAATTCCTGCACATATATGTGTTAACGATGTAGAATATGAAAAATGTTATTAAGTGTTATTAATGTTATTTTATTGAATGTATTAATAAAATTAAAGTGACATTATTTTTGCTTACGTACCATTCATGTCCATATAAATTTCCATACATCGATTGATAAATATATTGATTGCAACCAATTTATATTGATTGTAACCAATCTATGTTTAATATCTCTTTTTTGTGTAAATTCAGAGAACTTAGAGGAGGTGAATGAAGTCCCATGGTCTGATACCAAAGTATTAGGGTCGCCAAAGACATTAAAAATCGGAATTATATTTTCAATTGTTTCTCGTGAACTTGTAGTTTTTACTACAAGTAGAGAAACCAAGTAAATCTTGTAAATGAATCTATCAATACTAAAACATGTTTACGTTCACTTCTATCAATGGACCAAAATGATCTATATGTACAATATGCATAGGAAGCTTGGGGGTTTCTTTTAATTCACCTTCTTTTATGTTGACTGAAGCGTTAGCTACAAAGCAAACCAAACAATTGTCCATATGACTGTGCTTGTTTACGCATAGATGGAAACCAATAGTCATTGCGTATTCTCTGTATTACTTTTTCAACTCCGCAATGGGCATTATTATCATGGTATACACGCAAGATATTTGTTACCACACATCAGGTACATAAAAAAAGCGAGGATTATCGTCGTCTTTTTTGTACACTAGTCTCTCTATTTACGTAAACTTGTCATGTTTTGATTCTTCGAGGTGATTTAAGATTGTACGAATTCGTGGGTCTGACAGCTGTCGGTACTGTAATTCTTTTTCATGCGGAATAGTTCCAACTGAAGCTACTATGCAGCTTAACGCATCCACATGCATCGTCCTGTTACCCTGTCGGTGCTGAACATTAAAGTTATAACTCTGTAACTGAATAGTCCAGCGCGTAATACGCGGATTCAAATTTGCTTTGTTAATTGCATACACAATTGCAATCGGTAATTACTGTAAATTTAACTCCATATAAATAAATATGGAATCTTTCAATTGCTTTAATCACGGTTAACACTTCAAGTTCAAATGAATGATAAAGGCTTTTTGCGGCATTCATTGCTTGACTATAATAGGCAATTGCTGCCCACAAACCCGAATTTTGCTTCTGCACGTAGGCTGCTGGAAAAGTTTCTGCAATCTAGTACTTTCAGTGATGCCAACATTCTACTACTATTATATCCGTAAAATTAGACATTTTTAACCTATAATTCAATTGACAGTTTGTACCCAAGCCAACTAGTTTTGTTTGCATAGTATTTTAAAAGAAGTTATTTTGTAAGAAAATGGAAATTTCGCGTGAAAATTTTCGGGTAATGATTTTTTACGATTACAAATGTAATCTAACTCCGAAACAATGCATCGATTGACTTTATTTGGCTTTTGGGAATGAAGCACCATTCAATAGAACTGTTTATAATTTGTTTGCCGAATTCCAGCATGAACGTACCTTTCTTAGTGATGAATTCCGAGAAGAC